ATTGACGTAAGTGTTAAACTCCTAAGATAGCTCTTAAATTCTTTCTATAGCAACATAGTTTTATTTCAAATTTTACAATTAGGTTCACTAAATTAGTAAATCCAATATCTATAAGTTCATTTGAATTGGTTATGTGGATATTCGCGCTTATGTTTAGGACTACAAATATTCGATCTCTTTTGGCAAACGTGCATCATACGCTGATCCTCTCAATATCGCTGTCAAGTCACAGGTGTCGTTGGAAGTGTTAGACATTGTCTAGCAGAGAAACCCAGGACTGGAGTTTTGTCCTATTTGCGACTGGTCAGCTGGATGTGCTTGTATCCCAGTGTCGACATCCACTCTGTTATATTCCAATTAAATAAAAAGGTAACTAGTTATAAATTAGAACTTTATGCTCCGTTTTGTAGGTATTGCTAGTTGGTTTTATTTACAGACTTATATGTACTGACTAAAACTATTTAGCAAATGAATAACTATAACTCCAAACGACAAATTTCTACAGTAATTCTCCACTACTCTTTAACACTAAACAGATCAGGCTACTTACAAATACTTTGTTTCCTTCACTCTTTCCTAAATCATTACAACATAAATAGATAAGCTATTCATTGAAAATACTACAAACGTATTTTATATAAAACTGTAATTTAAACCCTCCATTTAAAAGGTAAGTTAATAATCATACATGTATTTTCCTTACTATCTTTAAACTATTGAATAGAACACTACTATTTTTTCATTATACAATATGCAACATACTCTTAAAATTAATTCCATTATGTGATCAAAATCAAGTAAAACGTTACTTGTCATGTTTATTTTAACGGATAATTTTATCAGAAGGTGTTTTGTGGATATTATAGTCATTTTGATAGTTGAGATAATGGGTTAGTCGAAGCTAAACCATCATGGAAAACCTGGAAACACTGGATGGCCGTTTCGTTCTAGTATGAGTCCCCACAGCAGTGTGCATCAACTATCCCGCCTCGCAAGATTCCAACCCAGGACCAATCAGTCTCGCGTACCAGCGCTTAACCACTAGACCACTGAGCTGGTCGGAATCCAACAGTGTTAATGTCTAAATTCAACTAATCCACGAAATTGAGCGATACACTCACCATTTTTTTCAGTGTTTTACTATCTCTCAATAATAATTTTATAATATGTGTAATTTCTACAATTCACAAAATGTTTAGGTACACTATCTGCAGAACTATTAGTTAAGAATAATATATATCGTTTGTTTTATTTTAATTGCTTAAAAACATTCAAAAGAGTATAGAACAGAAGTTTAAAAAAATCTGAAATATTTCAAAAAAGATTTAATAATTGAATTAGGAAACATTATTCTGTTTTAATTTTAAACCTTCTATCGAAAGATGATTATTGTCAAGTGGAAAATCCTCACAAATTGCTATGTAACAATTTTACATAGATATTTTTGTTAAAGTTAATATATCAAATTACTCATATTATTTTCAAACAGATTATAATTTAAACATATTGATGTTTCGATGCTTAAAAGTCAATAGATATCGTGGTGTGTGCTACTTATATTGACATAAGTAGTAGATGATGTTAGTCGTGAACAGAAGATCTCGAAGCAGAGAGACAAGAGGATTGAACAGTAAAAAATGGAAACAAAATACAATTTGTATGAAGATGAAAAGACAATGAATTCTGAGTCATTTTGAGACAATCGGTGGACATTTTGCAAATTAGGTATTTACTTTATGATTGTTAGATTTTATTAACAAGTCATGTAATTTTGTGTTAAATACATCCGATTGTCCCCACACGTGTTCTTGTTCACTACAATATGACTGATGAAACTATCTAATACAATGTAAGAGCAATATAGTACAGTTTTATGTAACAATAATCTTTTAACTGGAAATCGGTTAAGTCAACTATGATTAGGACTAATGCGCTTCACTATTAGAAACTTTGTATATCAGTCAGTCAGTAACTTCGTACCTACGTACGTACACCAGTTTAAGTTACCATACCACATTAGCACAGAAATACAGTTGTCTACTTAAATCCTATAATAGTCAAGGTGGTAAAAGTATAAGCAGTAATCGGAAAGATTAGGGTTTGAAGATGTTATTCAAGGAGTATAATCTAGTGAAATATGTTTGGAAAGAGAAAAAAAGGGACATGAAGAGTTCAGAAGATTAGAACTTGGGAGAACACAAAGATTGGAGGCACCTGCGCCATTGCGAATGATATATATATAGTCTGATATTCAGATTTATCCAAATGTTGGTGCATCTGTGTTTCAAAGACAACTTACGTTTGTCATAATATCAGGATTTAAAATAGATTGATTAAGATTGCAAATTGCTTTTTAATCTTATACATAGTCATTTAGACATTAGTTATTCGGACAGAATAGATTCGTAAATATTTTGGTTGGTAGTAGTAGTTAAAAAACAGCTTATATGGAACAGATTTTTAATCAAATTCCTGTGGTGTTTTTTACATGTATCTTACCATTGTTAATTAGGACTGCAACTGATCAGTTTGATGTTGGCGTATGTGCATCCTGTGCAGACTACCTCGATATAGCCTAAGTCACAAGCATTTTCAAGCAAACATGGATCCAGTTGGCGAGTCCTAAATAGGACGAAACGCGCGTCCTGGATTCCACTGTTAACCACTATCTATCTTTGCTTAAGACGTTTATAATCAGATCAGAATATTGCATAATATACTGCAGAATATTAACTGCATGTAATTATTTCTACTATTTTACGACTCATTATCAAACTAAGCATCGATATCAAAGAAATTGTGTACATATTTTGTCTGTAGAGACTAGTGATCACAAATAGGAAGTTAGCCTGTTCTGTTTGTAATCAGCAGACTTACTTGTAGGTTTATTACGTGTTTCAATGGTATTTTGTATAATATTTACTTTTTGGTGTATTATGGATTAAAAATTAAATATTGTAAACTCTCGTACTTACCATGATTTGGTAGTTAGTGGCTAGTGCGCTGACCTTTGGAAACACAAGTACTGAGTTTTAGTTTCAATATAAACACCAATACTGTTATGCGTATAAATTAAGATGACGAATCTCGAATAGGACGAAACATTCATTCTGGATCACTGTCCACAATCTAAAATACACAAAAACGTATCACAAAATAGTGTATCCATCTATATTAAGATGTTAATTTGTTCAAGTTTAAAATACCACCAACAGAAAATTGCGAACCTATATCAACACATTTTTTTATTTTAAAATCTGTTAGAGTTTTGAAGAAAAATAACATTTATAATGATTGACTTTTTAAAAACGCTTATATATACGACGGATAATGTCAAATTTAACACATTGTGACTTTAACAATAAACGAATGTGACAGAAAAATAAGTCATTTATTCAAGTCGTTTGTTTACAACGTTTGTTGTTTTTGTTTGCTATCTTTCTAAAATGTTCATTCTATATTTTGTACAAACATCTAAATGCATATCTACTCAATCTTTGCTTGTGTTAGCATTAACAACAATTTTTCATGAAATAATTTTAATTATAATCTGTAATGACTTATGGCCTGTTATCTATCACCAATCAGAACACGACTTATACAATATTAGTACTGTGCCAAACCAATGACGCGTTGACCTGTACATGAAGCCTAGAGTCCTTATTATTTCATCACGTTTAGCACTGTCTGTTGAGTCTAAAACACCAATATCTACCTCCACTATATGAATCACATATTTCAGATATACTTGGTTTATATGCAAATAAAGCAGACCGCATCGCACCATAGAATAGAAAACAACGATTGCACAAGATCAAGCTAAAAAAGTGGCGGTGATTGTGAGAGACTGTAGCGAATAAATTAGAAATAACTTAAGAAGAGTATGTCGTAAAATAGCAGTCGATAAATTAAATGAAAGCTTGTAATAAAGGGAATATATATATATAATCTCATTACTTGACAGTTACAGAATAAGAATATATATCACAACGGTCCATAAATAGTTCCTAGCAGTTCCCCTCATTTATTCTTCGTTCGGGTATAACATATTCTATGTTAATTCTTCAGTCTAAATTACCTAACAGTAAACATCTTTAAATAAAGTCTATTCTGTAGACGCATTTTTTGAAAGCGTTGCATTCTCCACCATGTTTTGAAAACTTAGTTCGTAGTAAAAACTGATCTATACTATGTTTCTATTAGGAGAAATACTAAAATCAAATAAATACCAGATGTCAAACAATTACTATTTTTAATATGATATGAATAGAATCTGAAAGATTTCGTCAATGACTTTAAAGATTCACTATTTCTCTCATTTATCACCAAGCTATTTTTCATCAAAACAGACCATATTCATAAACGAAAAATTATAGTAATTTAATAGTTGAACTCGTGAGTCAATTGAAGCTAGACAACCATGGACAGCCTGGAAACACTGAATGACCGTTTCATCATAGTATAGGACTCCTCATCAGTGTGGATCCATCCATCCCGTCTCGCAAGATTTGAATACAGGACGTATCAGTTTCGTGCGCAAGCGCTTAAGCATTAAACCATTCAGCTGGCATCAAACGATATTAATGTCTAACTTCAACCAATCCACAAAAAATAATTATAATTTACATACAATAAATTCACTTTATAAAGAAAGAAAAAAATAAATAAATGACAAAGTGTACCAATTTGCATAAGATAAATAAAACTAATATTTACCAATGAAATTTCTTATTAATATTTATTATACACTGGTTAAAATTTAACCAATCAAATGTAAGTTATAGTTTTCAACCATTCATAAATGTCATTATGCAAAAAATAATTAATTCACCTTCAATTATTCATCATTGATTCTTAGTTATTATTGTAATTTTCAATTTATATCATTAATAAATAAACAATGAAAATTTTAAACTGAATTAATTAATTTTATATTTAAAACAAAAACAAAAACAAAATGTATAAATAAATGTATATGGATATAATAGTAAACTTTTTAAATGCAAAAGACATATCTCATGGAAATAACTATGATAATTTTGATCAAATTTACTTCTGCCGAATTAAAAGATCATATAATACTTTGGGATGCAAGTAATTGGAGGTAAGTTAAAGTAGTTTTATTCATCTAAATATTTATATATATATACATATAGAGATAGATAGATAGATTATAGAATATAATCTTTACGAGACTGAAAGCCCTGGGTTCGAATCTCGCGAGCTGGATCGTGGATGAGCAGTGTTGAGGAGTCACACAATAGAATGAAACGGTCTTTCAGTGCTTTCAGGTTTTCAATAGTGGTCTAACATCAATCGGTTTATGATCTCAATCGAAAAACTTAACAACCTCCACAACCCTCAAACTGATATATTGATTGTAAAGAAAACTATGAAACTGAATAGTAATGACAGTTGTTTTTTATTTCATAATGCAAAATACCAGTTACTTACTTACTTACTTACTTACTTACTTACTTCCTTACTTCCTTACTTACTTACTTACTTACTTACTTACTTACTTACTTACTTACTTACTTACTTACTTACGCCTATTACTCTCAATGAGGCATAAGCAGTAGTTCAGTTTATTTGTTACACCCAAGAAATCTATTTTTATAATCATTTTGTTGCATTTTAGTAAACATTAGGAGATATTTCACATAATAAGAATCATAAGATAGAACTGACAGTAAAGCTAAATGTTTAATATCTTGTTTCAAGTTAAGTTATTGTTACTAAATACTATTTCTCATTCATTTCCGGTATCCTTCTAATTTTAAGTTGCATTGGATAATGTGTAATCAATGCTAATACAGTGAATAATCAGTTTATAACGAAATGTATTCAGTTTTTAAAAAAATTTGAAATTGTAAAATCAACTTTTTTTCTTAAATTTAAAGTATATATGAAGATATTTTTGTTATATGTTGGTATTATTTGAGATAGTATTGATGGTAAGCGACTAACTAGAAGGCCTTGTGTCCTAGTTTTAGATTTCTTAATAGCATCCACTTTAAAGAGACGTACGAAAGAATTTTACGGCTCCATGTGGACATCAGTAGTTTGAAATCAATAAATTTATTTCCAGAACACTGAATGAATGAGTTTTGATACTTTTGTTCGAGTTACCTTATAATAACATATTATATTTCAATGAAGCGTTATCCAGTGACAGTCATTTGTTGATAATTTTCATTCTGAGAGTTGATTTATTCATATAAAATATTTTGAAGTTACTGCATAATATGCATGTGTGAGCATATTTTAAATATTATGCTCCTGTAATTTAATAAGAACTAAAGTTGTAAGCACAGTCGATTTAATCACTCCAGTGGCATAGTTCCAAAATAACTCATTTAAATATGAAATAAATAAGAGTGGTACAAACAATCATCTATTCTACAATTTAATACCCAAACTGATGCAAACACTAATATACAATAGTTAAAATAGTAGTCCATGTTTTTAACACTTGAATTTATGAGTCGATCTAAGCTAGACCATCATTGAAAACTTCGTGTTCTAACTTGAATCAACTCATGAATACAACTGTTAAAATTACTGTAATCTCCACAAATCCCCATTCTGATAATCCATCATTTGTTTTCTGATAATAGTGGTGTCAAAAGATTAAAAAGTCAGTTGAGGGAATGGCTATCAAAACGTGATAAAATAAATTGAAATTAAATTCATGTCAGAAATGGAATGCAAACAACAACTATATTATTAAATGAGGGAAGAGGGTGACACAAGATAGTATGTGAAATCTAGAGTTAATAATCATTGTTAAAGAATCAATTTTATACATTCCATTAGTTTATATAGTTCGGGCACTTTTAGATGCCCTTTAGAAATATTGATAAACATAGGACTAATGAAAAATAAAACCTCGAATTTAATGTACATAATATTCTTGTTACGGAGTTGGAAATCTTCCTTCTTTAGGCCATCTGCTAAGATCCAAAATCTAAAACAAATGAAATTAATAGAAGTATATTTTAATAGAAAGATAAGTATTTATCGGTATATATGCTACTGCATCAGCTAAAAATTAATGTGAATCATGTATAAACATTGCAAATAACTGAACTTCAATTATTCTCCCGTAATCAGAGTTGTTTAACATATTCGGGAGTACGGAAGTCCATGATGATTTTCTTTATTTATATACTAGTCATTATAATTTCTACAACCAAATCAATCTTACTTATTTAAGTTTATGCAAATTACTTAGGTTCACTTTAAAATGTAAGACACGAAAAATTCGTCCTTCTTAATATGACACTTCAGTATCTTCATGAATTACATTTCGGGAAATTGTGGTTTGAAGGCTTACGTTCACTGATTTTAATCCTACTGTCGTTAAGTTTATAAGTTTACTTAAATATTTTAAAGAATACATTTTACATCATTAGTAGACTTTTTCAGTAACTTTTCATAACACCAGTGAATCTACACCCAGATTCATTAAGTTTTACAGTTATGATAATAGCAAGAGGAGAAGTGTCAAAAAACTAGTGAAATAAAAACTGTGAGTTTTCTAATTTAAATTGAAGTGATTTTTCATCTTGAACTGTTATTCGTTGACGACAAACATCAAATCAGTATGTCCTGAAAACACTTTATTCATAAAATACGATCTAAAACATGGGATCCTTCGATCATACTATGGAGTTACCAATCACTATTACTCATACAATAATTACCCTTATTGAGAAAAAGCAAAGAAACTGCAGCAAAAGAATACTAAACGGTTTTTATTTCTTTAGAGACCATTTTTTATGCTCAGTGAACAAAATGTTATTCAGACAGTAGATTTATAAACTGTTTAGAAGAGGGAAAAACAGGATTCAAAAATAATCAATCAACGAAACATAAAGGTGTGTATAAAAATACGATGATGAACACAAAATTGTCAGACTGAAACACAAAATGTGTATTAAGGTCAAACATATATGTACACTATCAGAAGGAGTTTTGTGGAATTATCATTAATTTCGTAGTTTAATTCATGAGTCAATTGAAGCCAGACCGCCATGGAAAACCTGGAAGCACTGGATGGCCGTTTTGTTCTAGCTTCAATCGACTCATAAATTCAACTATTAAATCACTGAAATCTTTACAAAACACTTAGCTTCAAGAGGTATCTTCTTGAGTTCTACGGAGAAGCAATGACCAGTGGAGTTCAACCGGGTATGTTGTGAGATAGTAAATCGCTGGTGACAATGGTGAACGGTGACTCAATCTCGTGGATTAGTTGAAGTTCGACATTAACACCGTTGGATACCAGCTCAAAGGTTTAGAGGTTAAGCGTTCGAGCGCAAGACCAATAGGTCCTGGGTTCGAACCTCTCAAGGCAGGATCGTAGATGCGCACTGCTGAGAAGATCCACAATAGGACGAAACGGCCATCCAGTGGTTTCAGGTTCTCCATGGTGGTCTAACTTCAATTGACTCATGAATTTAAATATATGTATATCCTCATTAATTTTAAGTAGTTTTCAATGTTTCAAACTGTATGTTTCAAATATATGCAGGAATTGAAATGTGATATTTGTTCGCGAATGTTTAAAAATCAAAAAAACTGAATATTTTATAAATTATTTTTTCATTATGAAAGTAATCTATATTCACTAAATTCAAAGAAGAAATGTTACAGCATTCTTTTTCGTATTACGCAATACGCAATTATTATTCACCGATATCGTCAATTTCTCATGGAGATTAAAGTACATAAAAATGTACAAATGTTAGCAATTACTAGATTCAATTTATTATGTCCAAAAAATTCTAAAGTATTTACCTTACTTACTGCGAATGTAAACTTCAATAATCACCATGTAACTAAACAATTGTTACATATAAGAGCTAATCCAAAATGTCATCGAATTAAAACAAAAAATTTTCTATTATACTGATAAATAAATGTCATGCCGATAAATAATCGTTGATGGTTTATTCATACATGAGATTTTTTTAATAATTTGACTGAATTAATAAATGAAGTAACCGACCATCACTCAGTCATCTTCAGTTGATAGAAATTTTACTTTATGTTTATGAAGTCTCGACAAAATTTCGTTTTATGTATTTTATTCTTTCCTAAGCGTACATTAACTGTATTGGGATTCTGTATTTATAACTGATTATATTATTTTTCTGCAGCGTATTGTCACCAGGCGATTCAGTGACTTGAATGAGGGCAGAAACTAAAGCCTTTGATGAATTAGTCAACGATCTATGTATCGTATGTCGCATAAAACATTCGGCGAGACTCTAATTTAGGACGACTTTTGAACGAATCTTAAATGACCTTGACAATTATTAGCCAATCAGAAGACAGTTAGTATAAAGTGAAAATATAAGAAAGTAATCAATTACAGTGCATATTCTTCTTTTACATGATTTAAAAACTTGTTAAGGTTTGATGAAGGTTCAGAGGTTCTGAATTCATATTGCATATGGCATAGAAACTCGTCCATATGGTTAGGGGTTAGAGTTTATGCTTAGGGTTAGGGTGAGGGTTAGGGTTATGGTTAGGTTAGGGTTTAGTGTTAGGGTTAAGGTTAGGGTGGCGAGATTCTAATTTAGGGACGAGCGAATCAGATGCGTTTGAGCGATTTCAAGTTCACGGAGCCAAGTTCAACACGTGGTGCTAATATACGATCGGTTTACAACGGATTTTAGAGAAGAGGTGTTTATTGAGAGGCTACAACCCTAACCCCTAACCCTAACCCTAACCTAACCCTGACCATAACCCTCACCCTAACCCTAAACATAAACTCTAACCCCTAACCATATGGACGAGTTTCTATGCCATATGCAATATGAATTCAGAACCTCTGAACCTTCATCAAACCTTAACAAGTTTTTAAATCATGTAAAAGAAGAATATGCACTGTAATTGATTACTTTCTTATAATATATTTTCACTTTATACTAACTGTCTTCTGATTGGCTAATAATTGAAATTACTCAAACGCTTCTGATTGGCTCGTTCCGAAAATAGTGTCGCCAAACATTCAAGTCACTGAATGACCTGGTAACAATACGCTACAGAATATCGAAAGAAATTACTCGACTTAAGTTTTTTCGATGAATGTCTCAAGTCAAGCCTTTTTTCACGTCAATTCCTAAAATCTTTGCGCTCATGTAAACTTCCGCCTTCTCTTAAATATCTTCAACGCATCATAAATTTTCACATATTATTTTTAATTTATAAAGTTATAAATTGTTATTAGATCAACTTTATGACATTTCAGGAGAACGTTTGTTCTCATGATATCACTATAATTGAAACAAAAGTTTATTTAAATGTAGATAAAATGAAACTGAATGAATAACTAACCAAATAATTTTCATATTCGTTTATTTATGTTATTATTATAAAAATAATTACAGTTAATGTAATCATATGCATAGCAACATGTAAGGCTATCGAGCCTGAAGAGGTAATATTCCACACCAAACATATAAATATATTTATTTATTTTTGGTTGAGATCATGAATTAATTGATGTTAGACCACCGTTGGAAACCTGGAAGCACTGGACGGCCGTTTCGTCCTAGTATGGCACTCCTCAGCAGTGCGCATCCACGATCCCGCACCCCGCGGGACTTGAACCCAGGACCTACTGGCTTCGCGCCTGAACACTTAACCATTAGACGACTGAACCGGCATCCAATGGTGTTAGTGTCTAACATCAACCAATTCATGATCTCAACCAAAAACTTAACAATCTCCACAACCCCCATACTGATATATTTATTTATCTTTCCCTGTTGTTTTTTAACACTGGATTACATAAATATAGAATTTTGGAAGAAAAGATCCAAATCTTATTTTCATTATTTTTAAGCTTATTTATTTAAATGTATTTTAGTTTGATCCCTATATTCTCATCAATATCCACATTGAGAAGCTGTAGTTAAAATGCGATGGAACAGCCTCATATATGTCAGCTATATTTTACGAACTAGACTGTTGAGATAAAAGGATCGTTAAAGTTAAAATGTTTTGTATATAATAGGTATATACAAAATATATACAAAATCAGTGTCAAATGTTCTGTTCAACGTGGAAAGTAGACAACCATGTCCTTCGATAGTAAAGCACATAATTGAAATGGAGCGCAGAGTTGACAGCAATACAGCCTCCAAAACGTTGAATATAGAGATTATCAAGAATGAATTCTTAGGTTTACAAAAACCCTGGCTATTCATATATCTGAACCCTCCTTATATGTATTAAAATAATTTGTTGTAACCTTGAATTTTCCCTGGTAATCTTTAAGTCATTTTACAGCCTAGGGTGATGCGATAATTTACTGTTCTTTTCATATAATGCTAATTTTATCTCTTCTTTATTTACAATTATTACTTCGTTTACTTGGATCTTCATTTAATTGACATTTACTAATTTCACATAAAATGCCTTGATAAGTATATATGTAACTAAGATGTTTGAAATATATAGCGCAAATCTACGGAAATGGGAATACTATTAAATCTGGATATATTCTAGCCAAAAAGATTCCTTTTAATAAAACCGTCCATCCTTCTCGAAAAGAGGACATCGAGGGAAGCTATAATCTTATCACGTTTCACTTCACTAGTGAATTCAATAACTAAATGAACTTTTTGACGATGTTTAATGGCTTTGTTTATTGATACAATCGACAAACAATTGGTTCGTCATTTACATTTCTAAAGTAGTATTCTAGCTTATTCCATATTTCATGTAATGGTCTGTTATGTAGTATGGCTGATAAAAATATTGTCTAAGACGGAAAGATCTACGTACATTTCAGGTGAAATCAGACGTGTGTTATTTTAGAAATTTTAACCCTGTCGTTAGTTGTGGCCGTTTGGTGATTATTATTGCTTGTCAGATATAATCTTATAAATAGCTTCTAAATGTATTTTAGTCAATATACATTTTATGTGATGCTCAGAGCTTTCCCGTTGATTACGGCAGTCAATCGGAATGCTCTTAAAACTTTCTAGTTCGACCTCTGTTGCGGTTCCGAAGTGTAATATATAGATAAATAGGTTTCCGAATTGGACATCAGCATAACCACGCTTACCGTAAAATATTAAACCTGGTGATAAAACCTTTCTTTCCTTCTATAGTCTAATAGCATTCGACGTAGAGTTTTATTTCTATTATTTATTGTTAATTAACCCGACAAAATATTGCTGTCACCTTTAATTTTATTCATACGACTTATTTGACTTTTTTATATGATTGTAGTCGGACACAACAACGAATTTTCCTAACGCTGACATAAATGACCTTTTCAATTATCGAATGGCACATTTGGGATGTAATCGATGTAAAAGTACACCACTTTAACAAATAACATTGTTTAATTACTTATCCCTGTCATATTTTAGTCACTGTAATAGGATGTTTATAGGCGTATCCCTATACACAATGATGATTTTTTTGATAAATTACTAATAATATATATAACTGAAGAAGATGATCACCGGAAAATTCCCATTTTAATAATACAGAAATAAGACCGAAGAATATTTCTTCAAGTTCTACAACTAAATATCAAAATTAATCATCCCAAAACTGGCAACGTTTGAAACAAATACATCGATAGAAATTACGGAATTTGAATTTAGAGTTTGTAAAATAAAATTGTTAGTGTCGTTGAGATGACTGATATACGATTCTAACTTGAATAAACTTGTATGTTAAACGGAATCGTAAGATTGCTGATTAGAATAAATATGGGTAAGATGGGATGAAAGATAATGAAATAATATCAAGTTAAAATAAATGTTTGGTCAACAATTACGTAATATGTCAGATGATATGAATTGGGTAAGAATTAGTAAGTCAGAGTGAGTGCTAATTTCATTCATCAAAACATTTGCAAGTGTTAAAATTATAATAAGATTTTTGAATAAGTTTAAGCTATGAAAATACCAAGGAGAAATTCGTGTATTCATAATGCAAATTATGTAAACTAACTAGGCCACAAGCTATCCAAGAAAAAAACAGAGGGTTTTCAATTTAAATATCTATCGCTTTAGCCATTTGAATGATTCGTAGTCTGGCCAATTTAGGCAGATAACTATTGACACGATATGTTATTGCTTCAAGTTAGCTGTGTCACTTATTTAACATTTATTGCTATTTACTAGTTCTTACCCAACTCATATTAATTTACATATTACCTCATTCTTAACCAAATAATTATTTTAACTTCACTATCTGTCACATTCCATCTTACCTATATTTATTATGATCAATAATCTTACAATTTCAAGTTAAGATCATATATCAGTTATATGACACTAACAATATGTTAGTTTCCTAATTTCACACAATCATATAGTCTAATTAACTTTTAGCTCAGGTCAAATTTAAAAATTATCAACTATATATTTATAATTCTCAATACTACTTATTTAATTCTCATCCACTTTCTTATCTCATATTTTGTCTTGATTAATGTAAAATCTTTATTCAAGCTTTATTAATTATTAAATGTGATATGTTGCCTGTATTGATTTAGGAATGATTTTTCTGATTGCTTTCAGACAAAATACAGTTTTCCTGTTTTTAGTTATTGAAGAATTTCAACGATATATATATATATATATATATATATATATATATATATATATATCAGAAGGGGTTTTGTGGACATTGTGGTAATTTCAATAGTTGAGATCATGAGATATATATTGAGATATATATTCACTTTTTAGGAATAAACTTTATCCACCAATAAGTATTTATAATGCATCTATAAAACAGATGCCATCAGTGTGGAGATTCTAGAGATTTTTATTCACTATATTACCAAACACGTGAACGAAAAACGTATTCTAGATACATTCATTTTTTATTCCGATGTTCTATTGTATTACTCGATCAAATAATAGCCATTAACCTAATGATAATTTAACGAAATATTATATTTAGTATATTTAAAACATTAAGAACAGTCACAAATATAATAAGAAAAAATAAAACCAACTCAATGGTTCGTACATTTTTCAAACGGTAAATTTGAGTTCCAGTAAATGATGTTAACAATTTTGTTTCTAAATATTCCAGGTTCAAAGAAAATCAAAATGATATTTATGCTACTGAGGGTGACAATCTAATATTTATCTGTCCAAAAAATCGAACATTTTCTCAAAATCTCTATTGGGTATGTCTTATACACTTAACAATATGAATACGTATTTGGATATTGTAATAATATGGTTATTGTTTTCTTGATGTTATAACATAAGTGATAAATATTTTTATATTTTTAACTTGTTGCATCATATATCTACAAATAAACATTGCTGGTTATCACTTGTGCAGAGAAAACTAGTCATAAAAAGTCAATAAACATAGCTTGCTTTATATGTCGTTTTCATATGATTTGCCGGATAAAATCTACCGGTAAATCTATTCTTAACGATATTGTCTACAAATATGTTGACACTTCGGTTACATTATATCTATTGAGTAGTTCTGCTTTATTAGTGAGATAATTAATGTAGACGAGTCTAAAGTTAGTGATATAATATCCAAATATGAAATGAAAATTAATTAGCAACAATTTTATAAGAGGTTTACTTACTTGTTAATAAAGCTTCCAACTTAATTTCGTTAATTATAACCATTTTAATAACTTTCTTTTAATTACAAAATTGCTTTTCATACTCAATCAAATTATGTTAAAAGGGATATGTCTTATGTAATAAGTGTTGTCTGCATCTGTAACAAAGTTTAAACGGCAGTTCTCCCATTAACAACTGAAATTTATTCAACTTTTTATTTAATAAGAGACTTTAATATTTTATTATTGATTATCATTAGTTCAGCTAATAAAGGATTACGTTTAAAAGAAACAAAACTTATTTGTTTAACACAATTTGACTCTTAGGATAGTATATATTATTTCGTATAAGGAAGAATAAGGATCAGGACACATGGGCCAACTGTATTACTTATTTTTAATAAGTTTTATGTTTATTTGGCACGGAAAAATGCAGACTAATATAATGTGAATGTAAATAGTTAGTTTTGTTCGTAAATCGAGAGATGATAAATAAATATCATTGTTAACCATCCAACTGATGTATACACTGTTGATAATCTTCAGGTTATTATTGAATTTTTACTTGAGTATAATTTGGTCCAACAATGTTTATAGATATTTAAAAACTGTTTACTTGATCTGTTCAAGCATTAGTATCCAAGTGTTATTTCTTTATATTTTGCATATTTATTCATATGAATAGACAGATGATCCACGTGTACAATTAAAATGTAATAAAACATTACCTATTAAAGTTATTAAACTTTTGGATTGTTTTGGAAACAAGTCAGTTACGGAGTTCGTTCTTAAAGTTAGCCGTTTCCCAGAAATCGCATCACTACCAAGTTTTCATTCAAAAATTCCCGTTTATTTCGTAGGTGAGTATAAAATTTTTAATATGATTTTTAATTCAGTAAACATAATCATTATTAATACGGTTTGCATTCTTAAATAATTTCGCAGATATTTATGCGAAATGTAGACTATACTCTATAGAAACGCTAGTTTTTATTCATTTTGTTTTATATCTAAACGCAGATCTTCATGAGTTATAAAACATAACACAATACTATGGCACAAAACCAATAACTGTACACTAATTCTTAAACTATTTGATTAGGCAATATTTGAAGATTCTTTGAATAAAGTGTTTTCATTTGTGCAAACACTTATGTAATAATATCTATGCTTTTATAAATTCATTTCATTTTGAGAGAGGGATTTTGTGGATATTATAATGATTTAATACTTGAATTCATGAGTCAATTTAAGCAAGATCACCAGTACTTCCAGCTTTTTTATGTTGGTGTAGCTTTAATTGACTTATCAATTCAACTAATAAATTTATTTCATTTTGATGTTTCGAAATTCATTCGCTTATTTCAATCTTTCATTGTGATAATTCTAAATTGTGAAAATGATTTTGAAGCTTTAAAAATTGCGAAAATGAACTTAAAATATAAAGAAAACCTCTACATTTTTTATGAAATATTACTGCTAAGACAAATTAAATATAAATACAACTAGTCTTCTTATTACTGGTGTTGCACTGTTTATAGCTTTGATGTTTGAAGTGAAAAATATCCGGTAAAAACCTAAGTTCACATACGAACTCTATATCATTCTTAAATTTTAATTAGCCGATTTGTTCACTGATCTGTTTGCATTTTCTTTATCCATCAATTTAATGAGAATCCTCTATACTTTGTTTATCCACTTTTTTACTGCACTATAAGTGTAGTTTTGTTCTGATAAGATCAAAATATTCATTGTCAACGAACACGTTTATGAACTCTAAATGGTTTACACAATCAGACTAAAAACATAATTAATTGACAAAATGAGACATCATTTTCCATTTAAGGACAAAATATTTTTTGTTTTTTTAGATATCAGTCTGAAAGCAACAAATTAAGTTGAATTGAATTCCTTTTGAAATATATATAAATCAGTTGGATGGTGGCTAGCAGTGTGATTGAGGACGCACGTTTCATCCTATTTGGGAGTCTCCATCTGCGTGATTTTTACTCAGAGACTCGAATCAAGTGACGTTCACCTTAAACTCTATTGCGTTATCCACTTAGCTAGTGATTTTAGACGGCTATTAGCCTATGAAATGGGGCGGATTTTAAATTATATGTATGTATTATTTTGAAGTGAAAAGTGGCGGGTCTGAGTCCTGGAGTAAATATCATTTCTGAGGTGCAGGTACATTCATCTGGTGAGTCTGAAATAAGATGAAAAGCGTATCATGAACTACACTACTAGTTATCATCTATATCAACTTGAAAATGCCTGTGACTTAATGAGTACATTGATACAATCGGCAGAAGATGTACCTGCATCAGAAGAGACTGACAAATTGCAGTCGTAAATATAATTGGGATGATTTAAACAACCAAAACTTATAAATTATACTCAACTGATAAATTTGATTCTATGTCAAAACATTTGTAGAGTCACACGCTGAAAATAAATATGACTGTTGCTAGAAAAATTCATAGGAAAGTGGTAAATCTCAAAAACTTTGATCGAAACAATGTGACTAGTTGACAATTATTTAAATGTTATAGATTCCGAATTAGTGAAAAAACTGATCATGCGTCCTGACATATTGCGCTTATTATATTTGGTAAAAAGTGTCTAGTCAAAGTTTTGTACACTAAATGTTTTAGAGAGAATTAAAAATACTAACAATCAACTAAATAAACATTCAAATAATTGCGGAGGTTAGATGAAATCGACTGTTATTCTAAAGATTCAATTTCGCTCGACCAGTTGATTACACTGAAAATTTATTACGCTCATAATTCACAAAGTGTGAAGTGACAAGATTTAAAATACAATGCCTCTATAATGCAGCTAATCTATGCATACTATGCAAAAATGAACAATATTCCAATTGCCTTAAAAATGTTATCACTGTATTATACAATAGTATTAAAAAGTTTAAGTGAAATATTAATAGTCGAAAGACCACATACTATGACTAGAATGCAAATGTCGACAACAGTACACACTGTTTATTATTTTATTCAGTTTGTATAAAACAGTAAAGTATACAAAACTATTTTAGTTACCCTTTCTACGAAAAGAGAAATATTTGGGTGGTATTTAAAATGTGTTTTGTCTTAGTCTCATCAAACACTAAACTCTTCTCGCTGACATTTTAGCATTACCTCGTATAATGGCTATACTAAATCATAACATTTTACTCATCTATGAATATGTTTCGACTGTTATGCATGAATTATCTCTTTTCACAATTAGTATTTGTAATTTTACAAACCATGATTATAAACTGATTTTCTACATTTTGTTCAGTCTAGTTCATCGCAATGTCTAAATTATTTATTTTCTTCTATTGTCCAATTTTTGTTATAAGTTCGATATGTAGACAATGGAGAAGTAGACATACAAAAATCTGTATAACTTGCTAATCGAAATAAAAGAATATTGTTTTTTCTGTCAAGTCATTTGAACTTTTGTTACTACTAATGCTATATAATTGCACAGTTGAATATTCTTTTATGAATTATGAGTCTCCATGTTCAACAGTGAATATCGCATACGTTTATTTAGAATTCAAAGTGCTACCCGAAGTGAAGAGATTATGGTATTAGTTATGTAGATATTTATGCTTGTATACGAATATTTATTAATGTTTTTCTAAGTGTATAGGTCACACAAAATCTGGTTAGTACAATTTTCAAGATAAACGATGCTTGCTTTATTGTTGTTTGAAAGAAAACTTATAGTTTACAGTCATAATTAACAGGTGAACGCTGTTATGTTTCACAAATACAATACCAAACTAAAATCAGTTTAACAGGCAGTTTTGTGAAAATTCCTTGTATTGACGTCAGCTGAGCAACAAATTATCGCATAAACTTCACACACATATATACATATATATACAGCTATAAAATTCAATTAGAAACCCATGAATAACTATATTTTAACTGACAGAATAAATTTAGCGAATAGCCTTCGATTTACTTAGGTTATGTAGCCACATATCAGAATGCTATTTTTTATATCAACAAAATTCTGGATTATTTATGTGCCTATCACATTTAAGTATCCAATAAAAGATGACCAATCATCATAAGCCTGTTAAAAAAAGACCCAATAGATAAAAACTAAAAAAGTTTAGGTACAATGTAGCAATAATGAATGTAAATAAACAATGCATAACCAGACATAACATTTAATAAAAACAGAGTATTATAATTCATTTTTTCAGAAGAGAGATAATATGAGATTCATCTGCATTTCTTATCATGAATTGACATTTCTTTGGTTCAGATTCCAACTTCTTTTTTAGTTAATAAAATCTCTAAATATTTATTTTGTAATTTAATAGCTCAGTCTGTGATATGTCAACAGAATAATTTTCGTTTAAGCGTTAAACTAGTGTCTGGTAATAAGACAGATATTACCAATCACATTGTTACTACTGAAGAAATGCAGACAAAGAAACATTCCAGAAAATGTAAGTTGAGTTTAATTACACCATTATAGAATTTAATGGAGTGAAGATTTTGTTACATCTACATTTGATTAGTTCTATTAAACCACAAAATATATCTATTGAACGTGTTTTTTGTGCTTATAAGCGTTATTTGTAAATTTTTCAATCGATTTTCTATGTTTTTAACACGTAAACGTTCAAGTAAAATCTACTATATAAATGTTACCATTTTATTATTATTATGTCTTTGACATTCATGAGTACTTACTTACTTACTTACGCTTGTTGCTCCTAATGCAGCATAGGCCGCCGATCAGCATTGGCCAACCCACTCTGTCTTGGGCCTTCCTTTCCAGTTTTGTCCAATTTTTGTTCATTTCTCTCATGTCTATCTCTATTTCTCGGCATAATGTGTTCTTTGGTCTTCCACTCCTCCTTTGGCCTTAGGGATTCCATATGAGGGCTTGCCTTGTGACGCAGTTGGGTGCTTTCCTCCACATGTGTCCTATCCACTTCCAGAGCTTCTTCCTGATTTCTTCGTTCTCTGAGATCTGGTTTATTATCTACAACAGTAAGTTGTTGCTGATAGTGTCTGGCCAACAGATCCGAAGTATTTTGTGTAGACAACTGTTAATAAACACCTGTATTTTCTGGATGATGATTTTCGTAGTTCTCCAGGTTCCCACCCCATACATTAGAACTGTCTTGACATTTGTATTGTAAATCCTGACTGTGGTGTTGGTTGACAAGTGTTTTGATTTCTAGATATTCTTCAGTTGTAGACATACTGCTCTTGCTTTTCCGATCCGCGCCTTTACATCCAGATCAGATCCACCATGTTCATCAATGGTGTACATCATAATTTATTGTTATTCTTATTAGAAAGGGACCATAAAATATACTGGATTGATATTTATTACAAGCTAGCTCTTGTAAAAGAGATATATCACTGATTTTGATAAAACTGGTGACTTTACTGAGATTCGAACCAATGTCACCTTTCATCAAAGTATGAAATAAGACTTAATTCTCCCAAACGTTTAAGTGTGACACTTTGATGAGTGATAATTGATAAATAATCACCATATAACAAAACATAATGATTGAGTTGTCGAGCCATCTAGATGAGTAAGCATATTTTCTGTGTTCAATAGAATTAGATGAATGTTTTTTTCCGAATCAGTGATCAATGGAATTTAAACATCTTTTACTGAGTTTCTTTTTTACGAGACTTTTGTACTTTGAATCAGTTTTTTTCTTCCTTCTATTATTCGATAGTTCAATTATTCTCAAATACATCAATTTCTCCTCAATTAAAAACAACACAAATTCATTATCCTTTAAATGATTCATCAAATCTATTCTGGAATCAAGAATATAATACAAAACAAAAATTAAATTGGATTGAATATAAAATTTTACTTTTACCAGCTACATTAGCATTTTTTACATTAATCAGTATACAAATTATTTTATGTGGATTATGGTTTTCTAATTCAATTACTCAAAAATTAATGAAATGCTTTAAAAAACATAAATATAAACATCATAATCTACAATTACAAACAAATGACATTTATAAAAATGATCAAATAGATAAAGATTTAAATAGATCACATTCAATTCAATCAAATGATAAAACAATTAAATTACCGATTCTTAATTATGAAACAAAATCGAATGTCAATTTATGTTGTCAATCAAAACCTTCATTACTCATAAATAAATATAATTTGAATAATATAGAAAAACAACAAAATTCTATCAATTCTCATTGGTTAATACATTTTAATCAATTTGATAATGATATATCATTCTATAAATTTAATGATCAACAATCTGAACCATATGTATTCAGATCAAATAAGCCAGAGAAATTATTATTTAATTTTCAAAAGAATTTAATTCATCAAACTATTCCAGATACATCAACTATTCTATGTAATTGTATCAGTCAATCAAATAATATGAAACTTAAACCAAATCAAGAATTATTAATTCCAGTATCCATTTACTTAAATAAAAATGTAATGGAAGATTGAAATTCTTTATTTAGAAAAAAATTTTTTGTAAAAAGAAAAACAAACGACTTCTCTTTGAAGCATTTCCGAGTGTATTAAGTAGAGAATGATCATTTCACTCCTTTACACATTTATCCATTATTGATCTTTTATAACAAAATTATCCATTTATATAATACTGTATTTACTAAAACAGAGAAGATAAGATTAAGATTGAAATATTGATTTCAGTTTCTCTCCTAAATATTTTTAAAAAAAAACATTTGGTACTTTTGAAAACAATTTTATTTCTTATTGTATATACTACTTATTTCAGTAGAATCAAAGTGATCTAACAAACAGAATACAAATCATTTAATTCAATGTATTCCTGTAAGAAAAAAAGAATAAACAAATCAATTTATTGATTACCAATGCTTATTTATATGGTAATTTATTATTTGACATGAATGAATATTATGTAAATCAAATCAAAACAAAATAAATGAAACAAATCATATTTCATATTATTATGAATTTCAATTATATTCTCATCTTTCTTTTTAGTTGTTTGTTTGTTGATATTGTTCTCCCATTTGTAATAAGTAGTTGCTAGATTGCAACAAAACAAAAACAAAAAAAAACTTGAACTTCTTAGCAAATGAATTATTTCTGATTAAATGTCATTTATAATCTGTACAGCATAAAAGTTCATGATAAGTTTAAGCGAAAAAATAAAAATAATGTTCTCTTTCATGACAATGTAAATGATGTACAGAATGAAAGAAAGAGAAAAAAAACCTCCATAAGGATATAAAATAAAAGGAAATATAATAATTTGATAATCATTCCAGTTTGATATTGTTTTTATAATTTATGTGAAGGAAGAAAAAATGTTACTAAGTAGAATTATTGATTTTATCAAATTTCTTTTCATTTTTCTTTAGAAAATATTTTAATTACTTGGAGAAAAATCAATAATTCAATATGATTGATTATTATATGTTTGATTAAATCTATATTTGAACTATAATATTGGTAATATTGTAAAACACAACAATAGATAGTAAGAATGTATGTAACATGAGAATTTACAAAGTACTTATATCATACATTATACATAGTCATTAATCTTCTATTTTTCTTTTTTCCGATATGTTCCGCCATCTGAATTGTATTCTCGTCTGATCATCAAATGTTCTGCGAATAACATGTTTTCAATCTATTGAAACTCTTCATTCTGTCTGACGTTACATTCGCCTATACAATACTTAGACATAATTTTGTGAATAAGGTCCACTATGACATGATTACATTATTACTGAAATTTCGGTTGACAAAGAATTATAGCACCTAAAGCAATCAATGACTAAATCTTAATTCATCGTAAGATAAAATTGTAAAATACTTTAAGTCAAAAGAAAACAGAAATAATTATATTAAAATGTGGTTAAATGAATTAAAACGTTTGTTGATTATTATGTTTTCAGTTGATAGGTAATTCCCATTTAAACATTAAAACATGAAGTTCAGCGAAATGATCTCTTTTCAACAAATTTATTATCAAGCTGTACAATCGTATGCGTATGAAAATCTTTTTTTCTTAAAGTACTAGTTCCGTGAGGAAATGTGAACAAGGAATAACCAAGATGATGTAATAGAATGATTATAATACTAGATTACGTAATAATGAAAAAACACGTAATAAGTTAGTAACGAATTATAACGTGAATGTAGTAAGACAATCAAAATGTTTTTTTATTCAATAGGTGAAATCCTGAGTCAATTGAAGCTAGACCATTGTAAACATGAAAGCACTGGACGGCTGTTTCGTTCTAGCTTCAACTGACTCATGAATTCAACTATTAAATTACTATAATATCCACAAAAGCCCTCTCTGATTAAAATGTTTTGTTACAATAATTAAAGATCATAGAGATGTAAAAAATAAGTAAAGTGATATCATGAGCAATTATGAATAAAATAATGAGAATATGAGACATAAATAAAAAGAGAAATGCAGTAATCATAATAATTAGGGCCAAGGTAACGATAACGATAGGACATGCTTCTTTTAAACGCACAGTTCTGGCTTGAGCTCATTGATGGTAAGAGCTTCGGCTATATTTAGGAGTTGGATACTAAGAAATCAAAGTAGACTTGGATGAATCGGATGTAAAACCTTGAAATCAAACTGTTGATTATTTCAAGTATGGAACTCCCAACTGCTTTCGTTATTAACTGTATTGTTATTATTTGTATTGCGTAATCTAGTATTATAATCATTCTATTACATCATCTTGGTTATTCCTTGTTCACATTTCCTCACGGAACTAGTACTTTAAGAAAAAAGATTTTCATACATATACGATTGTACAGTTTGATGATAAATTTGTTGAAAAGAGATCATTTCACTTCATTTCGTGTTTTTTATATTATGTTTTCATTTCGATTAAATTCATATCTCAAGTCAAACATTAAGTTTGAAATGAATAAAGCGTCATTTTAAATGTATAAGTTTGTATTGTCACATATTATTCGCTTAGACCGTGCATCCTTTTATTTGACCACTTTTAAAGATAGGTGACACGTATTACAGTACTATTTGTTATTAGATATTTATTCATATACTTAAACAGCTTTAACAGTGCACGCATATCCATATGCACATATATGTAAATACCCATATATATTTGTCGATTTTACTTCACTAGATAAGTTTACTGTTTTATTCAACACATAAATATAAAGTTACTCATTTCACAAAATACGTTCGCTTTTAATTCCACTCAATCATTCATGAACTAATCAACTCACTCTTCCTATACGTTTGGTTTCATTTTAAGATTACCACGTTTAAAATATCGTCGTCTACTACTTCGTGTCATGAATGTTTTGGTAATGAACGTAAAACGTAATGAATCTCCAAAAACATAGAGTCATAACTTCTAGTAGTTTCAGTTTCAAAGCAAATAACTGATGAACCAAGGTTCAAAATATAGTTACCAAACAGCTGAAATTTATCATTTCGTGTGATATAAAATGTGGTCAGCTTTTTCCAGAATATTTATTTAATTAATATTTTCCAAATACATTCGACAAATTATTTTTTAAAATTTTGTTTCAACAATTGCTTTAGGGTAGTTTGTACTATTGGAAAAGGCTTTTAACAAGGATTGTAATTGGCACAGAAGTCAAAAATCAAGTAAACGTGGTCAACTTTTTCATTTCAGTACATAACTCATTAAAAGTCCATACAAATAAACATAAGTGGGGTCAAGCCTAGAGATGATACAATAGATGAATTTTTGTAAACCATTTATTTAGCTATAAAAGGTATAGCTGCTTATCACTTACTCCCCAGATGAAATATTATGATAGCCAGATACAAAGTTGGCAAACAAAAAATAACACAACTGCATTTACAAAAACGTTTGACAACGTTCGAATTTAACAGTGAAAATATATCATCCTCTCAGCTTAAATTGAATATCTTTGGTTCCGTATCACGTCTCATTGTTGATGCATTATGGTGGAATGCCTTAAAATTGGACAAAGCAATGGTTTAAATATTCTTAATAATCCTAAAAATTTTTGAATAACGTTTTGTAAGAAAGTGTTAGTTTTTGTTTGTCTTGGCAATATACTAAGATCACTACTTCACATTGTGAACCATAGAAATAAATACAAATGATCTCAATTGATTCCAAAGTATTAGCTACAACATTTAATGGTATAGTAGTGTATGCTACTTATGTCTGTCGACATAAGTAGTATGTAAGACCAATCGGAAGCTCAAAACCTGGTAGCAGATGATTAAGAAAATCGAGTTGAAGAGAATGGAAAGGAAAATAAAAATGAATTATGAAATAGAAGAATCATACAGAATGTAAAGGAAAAATGATGGAAATATGCAAATGAAGTATTTAATGTATAATTCTCATATTTTACAAAAATATTCTGTAATTTTGTATTAAACTACATTACTTGTCCCTGCCTGTTTTCTCGTTCACTAGAATATTACTATTAATTAGTCATAGAATCAAAGTATACTTTTCCAAATGGAAAATATTCGTACCAAATTTATAAATAAGTGGATTGCTCATGAATTAAATGGATTTTTCTTAAGTTTTATACATTTAGTACCTATTATGTCCCGATAAGGATAATGAATTGTAACTTTTAGGATCCGTTTATGGATCAATACTATACGTATATATTTATTGAATAAATGTTAAATAACTAAACTCTACATATTCATGTCCCTCTTATTATGACCCTTATTTCGACCTATGAACTATTATTAACCGACTCACCATTCCTGAATTATGCCCAGTCTATTAATTACAGTCTCCCACATTCACAGCCACATTTGGCCAAATCTTGTACAAATGTTGTTTCCTATTTTATGGTACTATGTGATCTGTTTAATTGGTATATAAACTCCGTATGTTTGAAATAAATGACTCATCTTGCAGAGGCTGAGAACGGTGTTCTGGACTTAACTGCCTGAGCTAAGCAGGAAGCGGGACCAATAAGGACTCTAGACTGTTCGTATGTGTTTTATGCATCATTGGTCGGAACGATAATTCACTGCTCTCTAATTGGCGGTATCATTACATACACATTAACAAGGCACACCGGCCACAAGTTATAAAAATGCCCTCCAATCTTCATTATCCAATTTAAAGTATGGATAACATTAAATGATTCATTTTGTTATATATTCTAGATTTTATCTTCAATAAGATCATTAATATTTAAACATTATTAACTCTCCAAATATATTTATTATTCAACATTTTCTTTTTTTTAATGTTTATTCATTAGAATATTTTCTAGAAAGAATCACTACATTCAGTATTCAGATTAATTCAATGTTCTACATTAAGAGATTGCAATAAATTGATATACCATAATGTTATTTATTACTAATTCTCCATACATTTTATAACAAATCACTTACAGAGTTAATGAATGCGCTGGACTGATTGAAAATAAATAGTTTATACTTAATTTTTTAGTTTACAGTTAATTTTATT